CCCGGCGTGTGAAAGACAGCGTAGTATACATGACTTTACGTCTGTTCGTTGGTATTGGAGGAATCCGCGCAGCTACTTATATGACAAAGTCCTCGTTACTCCATGAAAATCCCTCTTGACTCGTTTTATCGCACAAGCAATAAGTGCTCAATTCAGCCGACAGATGGCAGTTTCTGGCGTGCGCCTCTGCCACATCCAAGGCAAACCTCCGTTAGCTATGTACATCTGCCAAAATGTCACAATAGATATCCATGCGGCACCCTGTATTCAACATCGCAGTCCCTGTCAGGAGCACAACGATGCGATGCGTGTGGCTAACACTATCATGAGCGCACTGACAAGGGCGCATTTGTTTCAGGGGTCACTCGTGTGCTGCGGGTTTCTGCTGAGCTTGGCATCGGCCCTGATTGGCGTTGCTGCAGCCGAAGATGCGCGTGCGCTATCGCCACAGGACCTGGACGCTCTAGAGAATGTGTGCGACCTGAAGACCTTGTCAAACACCATGTACTGCTACTGCGACTTCCTGCAGCAGAACCAGGCAGAGATCGGCAACTGCTGGATCTACGACGACACTCACCGCAACGACACTCTGTGGGACACGTTCCACCACCAGGTGAACCTCCGCCGCCTCACCATCAACCTGCGAGGCGACGGCAGCCTCACCTACGTGCCCAGGCGAGTGCTGTCTTATACCAAGCAGCTGTGGTTGCTTGAGCTAAAGAACGCCGCCATCAGGAGACTCCGGGGCGACGCCTTCGCCAGCTCCAGCAGCTTGGCGGAGCTGGTGCTGACCAGTAACGCCATCGAACACCTGGGCAAACACGCATTCAGCAACCTATCCAATCTGACCCGGCTCAACCTCGGCAAGAACAAGCTCAAGGAGCTTGGCCGGCACGTGTTCAAGAACCTCCCCAAGCTGAAGCAGCTGTATCTGGACCGTAACAGTTTGTCTAAGATCAGAAACAACGCTTTCGGTGGCTTGGGCCGGCTAAAGGAGCTGGAACTATTCGACAATAGCCTGGAGCAAGTCTCGCACGGTACGTTCAAGGGTCTGCGAGAGCTGGAAAGATTGGACCTGCATCGCAACTTGCTGGAGTCTATTGAGGACGACACGTTCGCCACGCTGTCGAAGCTGAAGGACTTGGACCTGCAAGAAAATCGCATCAAGTACATCAGTGAAAAGGGTCTTGTCGGTTTGAGGAATTTGATGAGGTTGAATCTTTATGATAATAAGCTGCTCAATATCCTTCCGGGAACATTTCAAGATGCTACTGGTGTTTTCTATTTGGACATTCAGCAAAATGTGCTGGATACCATGGAAGAAACCTCGTTCTCACCTATCTTGGACAACATGAAGAACATCACCATGTACCTTTTCGTGCAAGGTAAGCGAATCTGCACCATCCGTCTGAAAAATGGCGTATCTTTTCACGCAATTACAACCAAATTCCTCGATCACTTTCTCACACTCGGTACGTGTCATGTTGTGTGCAGCAACCTATCAATGTCATTCACACACAACGTTTGGGGACTGTACGGCGCGAAGTCAGAGATCAGCTCTTGCCGTTTTTGCCGATCTGTTCTTGCCACGAACAGAAAGCGCGGTTCAGTAGCCGTCTCTTCTTAGCTGCCGGTCGCGGTCACGCGCCACGTTATCTGCATGCACCCCCAATATTTTAGCGCTGTTAGAATATCTGAGTAGACCTGCGTTGACGGTGCCATTCGGTGACATTTTCGGAGACCGTGAGGATTTTGGGGAGGAAAATGTTGCATCTAACACCCTTGAAGGCGTGCTGTCCGGGGCACCCTGTATCTCCCACCAGAAAAAAGAGCTACACCAGGTTTCTGCACCGGATGCTTCCACTACACCACACCAGGTATTTCTCATTTTCCGTACGGACGCCTGGTCTCAACGCCTCAACACTTCCACTTCTACATCTCCCATTGCCCGCTTTCACTTCGACACATTTAGCAGTTATTCTGGGCCAGATGGTACCCATTGAACAAGATGGCCATTTGAGCCACGCACTTTGCCACTGTTGGCATTCCGCCGGCACCTTGCGAACAGCGGGATACCCAGTTACGACTGTCATCCCATGGTATTGGTAGCGGGGTCGCCAGGGTTTAAGGTGCCCCGGTGTGCACCCTGGCTCCGACGTTGGGCAGAAGCACCTCAGGTGGCAAGATAGTGACGTCACGGCTTCACCGGAAAGATCGCTTGCTCAGAAATCCGTAGGTGAGCCATTCCTCAGGAACAAAGTCCCGGGTCGTTTGCAAGCCCGGCTCCTCAGGGAAATCAATGTAGCCCGGGCGGTTGGTAGTAGGGTGAGGCGGTCCACAGACCATGGCGGAGAAGGGCAGCTCGCCATAAAACACGCTCTGTGTGGCGTGCCGACCGAGCAGGCCCCTGCCCTGCGCCCGCGCCCGCACCGGCGCGCCGTGCCGACCCAGCCGCTCGCCGCGCGCCGCGGCTGCCGCACGCGCCGTGCGTGATTCGTCACAGTTCGCTAGCGTCGGGCGCAGCAGCTGCAGCCGTAAGAAAGGTGGTGTCGGGTGTTGGCCGCGGATCGGCTGAACGTGATAAACCGAGTAACTGAGGTGGAAAAGCTTTCAATGGGAACGTGCCCATTATTATGATGGAACATGAAACTGGTGCGTCCCACATGACACCAATGAAGTGCATGACGCACAGAGCCTTCGGTATGACACCAGGAAAGTGCATGACGCACAGCGCCTTCGGTATGACACCAGGAAAGTGCATGACGCACAGAGCCCTTGGTATGCCGGATTATAAGTTGGCCCGACTCTACCCATCTTTTAGTTCATTTCATTTCGGATTCCGATCACCGTTGAACAACCGCAATCCGGTCCGATAATGCTGGGAAAACCCGTGGTTTTAGGCTTGGCAATGTTACACATGTAGCCCTTTATCCTTTGTCGATCTGATGCGGTCAGCTGGGGATCATCCGTGGCACAGGTGTGTTGAGGAAGCACTGTCCATGACCCAGATGTAGTGAGCTGTTGACCGTTCATGACTGGTAAGTGTGGGGGGGGGGGGGGCATCGGTGACACGAATTGAGTCCGACAGGTACTGTCTGTGACCCCTGTGTGGTAGGATGGATACCCGTCTGTGACCCGTCTGTGGTAACGTGGAGCGCGTGTGAGGGTCGGATCAGGGATTGCGACCCTGATTTTGTAGTTTGGTTTTCGTGGACCGTCCGTTAGCACGGCGATGTCGAGCGAGCACCATCCGACCTTGATATAGTCATACGGGGAGTGTCCGTGACCCTGGCCTCACCAGGCGTGCCTCGGCTGGGCAGCGTGTGCCGAGTGGGGACTACCCGACCTTCCTTGGCGTAGTCACGCGGGAGTGCCCGTGACCCTGGCCTCACCAGGTGTGCCTCGGCTGGGCAGCGTGTGCCGAGTGGGGACTACCCGACCTTCCTTGGCGTAGTCACGCGGGAGTGTCCGTGACCCTGGCTTCACCAGGCGTGTCTCGGCGGGGCAGCGTGTAGCGAGTGGTTGGCTCTGACGGGCCGGCTGTCCGGCCTCCAACACAAACAGCTCCCGACCCGGGATTCGCGAGCCGTCAGGGGACCTCGCCTGTCGACTGCAGCGGTCCGGCGAACCGAGCTGCGCCCGCTGAGGTTTGGCGAGCGCGCATCAGACGTTTGTGAGAAGGAGGGAGGACAGATACCATGCACTCAGGACTAGCGGAGGTCGTAGGTGGACCAGTGCATGTAGTATGTAGTGTATGTAGGTGGACCAGTGTACTGGTTGGCGACCAGTGTATGCTGTGTCGTGTAGATAGATGCTATTTGACGTGTCAATCGTAACGGGCATCGCCCAATGCAATGCCAAAAACGTCACTTTCTAGGAAAGCTGTTTTGGCAGTTCCAACGCCTGACATGCGTCGAGTATCTACATAACACGCACTTACCTACACACTCACACTTACTTGTGATAAGCGCTATCGTATCTGGCCGTACTCGCCGTCTTCCATCCGGTCTTGACCATCAGGGTCAACAGTCGGACAAATCTAGGGATTCTAAGGCGTTGAATTCCGTGCGGCGTTAATGCGCCTAAGGCCAAGTTCCGAGAAGCTGGGATACTTCTGATCTTTCCCCGTCCTCTTGCGTGGGTTGGGCCCTGCTCACTGTCCTAACTTCTTAACGAAACATTCACGATGAGAATTGTCTGCGGACATTTCCAGTCGTAGATATGGTTTTACACACGGTTTATGATGACTTAGTCGGAGGCCGTCAGAGTCGTCAGATGCCGTCAGAGTCGTCAGAGATGATAGTCTTTCTGTAGGAACGTCGTCGTAAGGTGCAAGTCGTCTTACGTCGTCGTAAGGTGACAAGATGTGTCACCGACAGCCTCTTGTTAAGGTGCTCAAATTGCCCCTTGTCAGACCAGAACACTTGTCATTTATTTATTGTAAGCGCACTCAACAATTCCACACATCATCCAAACCCGCAGGCAGTCTACTGCCTCCCTCACAGGGCTGATTCAGCACCGGTCTGATGCACTGTTTTGATCGTGACGAGCATGCAGTAGCCGCCCGCCCCCCCCCCCCCCCCCCAGCTTCCCCTCCCCCGCAGACCGGAGGGGGCCGGGGTCAGACAGCTGTTGACATTGGCAGGCGGGACCACACATGGCCGCTCCCCCGGGGACACACCCCTGCCCTGCCCGGGCGCCGCTCACCTGTCGCGCCCGCGGCCGCCCGGCCTTCTGAGCGTCCCGCGGCTTCGGGTCTGGCGCGTGAAACAACGGAAGTCAGTGTCGGTGCGGTATCTCGCGAAGTCCGCTATGAACAGCCAGTTTGAAAGATAGTCTAGCGAGGTTATGGCGCGCGGTTTTTCAGACTGATTTATGGAACATGCTGGGTGTGAAATGTAAACGTGAGCATCACCGCCAAAAGTCCGTCTGCTTCATCCGGTGTGACTTTTTACACCGCAAAAGCAAGCAAACTGCTTAGGGTCGCGGATAGAGGTATGAATACCAATTTAAACTCATTGATTTGCGACAAATGCCTGCTTAACCCTCGTAGTCCGTGCTGCTCGAGCAGTAGAAACATTTGTGCTTGTGCTTGGTTCGCCAAACCACTAAATATAGCCCACACGGGTTAAAAGCCTACAGTACGCCTTTAACACGCAGAAAAGCGCCTGACTTTGAACCTTCTGTATCCTCTGACAGGACTGCATGGCGTGTCCACTAAAAATGGGATCAGAAACCGGGATTTCGACCCCGATTGTTATTTTTGGATGCCTATGTCAGCATTATGTCACTGTTGCTATCTGGCGCATACACCTTATGAGGAATATATGCAGCCTCACAGCAGCGAGAGCTCCCACTTACTGGAACGGGGAGGGGGAGAGAAGTCGACCGGGCCAGACTGACGGCAGTCATTCCGATTTGCTCTCGGCCCGGGGCACATCTGCCGCACGCCGGGGCCGCCGGGCCGGCGAGTCGAGGCGCTCGCTGCTCTCCGCCCGAGCTGTAGTGCACCGCGTGCAGCGTGAGTCACTGTGGCGGGCCTGGGCCGGGGCCGTGTCGGTCCCACCGGCGGCCGAGCCCCGGCCAAACAGCACGGGTGTCGGGTCACGCGCGCTCAAACAATCGGCGGAGGCCGCGGCCGATCCGCGTGGCGCTGCACCCCGCTGAAACGCCCGCTGGCTGAGACGCCCGCTGAGACGCCCGCTGAAACATCCGCTGAAACATCCGCTGAGATGTCCTCTAACACGCCCGCTGAAACATCCGCTGGGATGTCCTCTAAGACGCCTGCTGAGACACCCGCTGAGATGCTCGCTCAGGCGCCCGCCCAGACGTTCGCTGAAACGCCCGCTGAAACGCCCGCTGAAACACTCGCTCAAACGCGTGCTGAGAAGTCCGCTGAGATGCCCGCTGGGGCTCCCGCTGAAACGCCTGCTGAAACACCCGCCGAGTCGCCCGCTGAAGCATCCGCTGAGACGCCCGAAACGCGGTGCGCAGAGGCCAATCACCTCTGTCAATTCTAGAGCGGCCGGATCTGTGGCTCCTCCACGATTGCGCCTGGGAGTCGGTATGCATTGGCTCGACACTCACGTTTGACAGCATGACTGTCGTTTTCTGCTCCGTCAGAAGTGGTTAGTCGTATGGCGCTTGGTGCCGGGTCCCCGACTTATCCCTGCACACGTCTTAGATCCTTGTTTTTCAGCTCTGTATTATTCGAAAAGGTTGTTTTTCCACGTTTAACAGAAGAAAATGTGAAGTGGTGGTGATGTTTCAAAGTAACAGAAATATGCTATTTTATCAAACAACTCGCAATCCAAGCGTCTCAAAAATCTCGCTGCATAACTTGTGGAACAATTTCGCTACTAGTTGCTGTAAGTGTCATGGGGATGCGATCAATGGTTGCAAATATATGAGTCTGAGAATGGCGTGATGGGCCGGGCCTGGCCGGGTCACTGAAGCTACATTTCCAGTTACTTCATCAGGGCAGACAGGATGTAGGGGTATCGTAACAACCATGTCATAACAGCGCTGTAGTCCACGTCATTGCGACCGAAGACACAGCGAAAATCGATGATGTTTCGTTGTTCGGGTTTGATTAGGGTTAAAAGCTGCTTGCTATCACTGCCATAACGTTTGTGCGCTGCCGTGTGGATAAACACAACTGTATCTTTTGCCAGGCCCAGGCCCTTTCAGCAGCGGTCCATGTCTGTCTGCTGCGGCAGGGAACAAACTGGCTTGGCTCGCCTCGTTCCTCTTACTTTATCACCGGTCTCGAGGGACATTCCTACTACTTTGTTTTCGTCGTTGTGGTGTGATTCGTCTCTGCCTCATTCGTCGTGGTGGTGTCTCGTCTCTGTTTTGTATGTTTTTGCTATCAGCATGTCAGATTGTGTATATCTTTTAAACTAGCCGGCCACACTAGAAACAAACGTAATAGCACCGTTTCGCATTGTTGCCATATTCGTGTCGTTTTGATCGAGTCGATCCTCCTCATTTATGTGGTTGTCACCTGTCGTATATTTTTATTTCTCTCCTCCACGTCCGTTTTTTCCTTCTGTCTCCCTCTTTCTCCCGTATCCCCCCTCCATCTCTCTCCCTCTCGCTTCCTATTCACCGCCTCGCCAGCTGTATTCAATATCCAGGTATAAATGGCAACGCCTCAGGCCTTCCATCAGGCTCTTTCTTCTGTCCTCTATTCATCCTTTATTCTATTCATATTTTATGTATTATTACCCCTCTGTTTATGACGTACCTAGCCTTATTAAGAGACCGAGGCACGGAAACCATGGCTCGGGTGTGAACACGTCAGCCCTCCGACCTGGTTGTTTGTTCGAAGACGTGCCTAACGGAAGAATCCAATAAACTTCAGGCCAAGAGAAATCGTTGCTTCATGCGTGGACTCACTGTGTGGTCTGCATTTTACTCCCAGCCATGCTTAGCCGGGGTGTGCGACACACGTTTATGGTTCGATGGGTAAATCAGCGGAGCTGACGCTTGTGATGCGATCCATGCCGCGTGATGCATCATTCACACGCCGCATTCTCCTGCTGTTGGAGCTGATACCCGGGCGCTAGCTGTCCACAACTGCGGGCTATTTATTCACACATGGCGGCATTAATCGTGCCTGTTGCCCTCGCGTCATTAGATGGTTTTCAATGAACATGATATGGCTGGAGGGCGGTGAATTTATTATCTGTATTTCCTGCTTCATGGCTGGCCGGAGACTTACGTTCGGGGGTCGTAGGAACTCTGAATATCACGTGCACTGCGACCCTGCCTACTTGACGTGGCTGACCGGCTTTTCCACGAAACGGCTTCGGCCTACTCTGCTGTGTTCGTCACACAACTCGCATCATGGACCTGTTTGCGATTTTTGTTTGTATGTCTGTGTATGTATCTTTTAAAAGACTATCCAAAAGGTAATTTTAATTGCACCGGTGCAGCGGCGCGGTGCTGAGGTTATTAGTCCTCGCAATAAACGTGGCACTCCAAATTCACATGTCCGTGGTGGAACAGCTGCGCGGCTTCCCACCGCGTCTGATCCCGCGCTTGAGAACGCACGCCGTCGGTTGAGGGGGCTCCGCTTAATTGTGCCCATTTATCGCGCGCGCGTAAGATGGAAGTCCATGTTGACTTCACCTGCCTTCATTAGCCGAAGTTGAACGACGTTTTGCCAGACGACAGGCACCGTGACCGTGTGTGGGAGTCAACTCGTCAGACTGGGGTCTCACTGCTGCTCCGTCATCCAACCGGCATGTCCTCGGCTGTCTCGCCGCCCTCGCAGTGACCTTGCGACAGCGGCGTGTGACGAGGCATGCCATGAGGTGACGTACCCCTTCCAGACGATGCCACATGCGAGGAGGACGCCTGCTGGACGGGCCCCCCCCCCCCCACCTCCCCCCTCCGTGCCCCCAGGTCAGGGTCTGCAGCGATCAGCTGCTGCGAGAGGCGAACCGCCCACGTGACCTGAGACGGCAGGTCACAGATCTGCTGCAACTTTGACCTTTGCGTGCCCCCGGTGACCCGGACAGCACACCTCGTGTCGCCTTGGTTGTGCGTAGGACCCTGATCTCCTCACGCACGCTCGACGATCCGACCGCATCGCAGCAGCTTGTCAGAAGCTCCGAACTCGGACGTTTAATGGGGTATAAAATCGGCTGCGGATGGGCGGTCCGCTCGCCGAATGACCACCACCGAGCCGGCGCCGCGCCAGACGAGGCCAGCCTCGTTGTTGGTGAATGAAGTCACTCGGCTCCGGTTTCGGGCCTGATGGGACATTATGCGGTTGACTGGCCGGCCGCCGAGCGTTGGAGACCGGCGGCGCGTGCAGACTCTGGACTCGGCCGCGCCACTGCTGACACAGAATGTGATCGTGTAGCCGCTACGGTCGCGGTGACGGACATCAGCGACGTGCGCCATAAACATGACAGGACGAGGCGCATTCCTGCGCTGCTGACACAGTGTGTAGACGCAGATGACCCTGCGCCCCGTTTCCCTCTTCACATCGAAGATCGAAACATGGAGCAGGGAGAGCGGAGCAACTCACGCAGGCGCAACGCCACCCCCTCGAGATGCTCGCGGGGACATCTCCCTGTGAGGAGACGTCCTCCCGTCTCCTTGTCGGGAGACGACCCTGACACTGTGTCACGCCGGGCCACGCTGGCAGCATCAGCCTCGGCTTCCGGTCAGGTGTGAGCCAGTGGTCTGGGCCCAGGTTTGGGCGTCGGCCGCTGGCGCCCGTCCCGCCCAGACGCAGCCCAATTCTGGCACGCGGACCGTGGTGCCAGACAACGGCCAGTCAGCCAGGTGAGAGGCGCCAAAACACGGACCTCTGTTCACCCCCTTAAACTAATGACATGGCGTTACATCTCGCTACCCTGGACACTCCCGGTGAAAGACCGCTATTACGGAGCACAAGTTGAACCGGAGATATCGTACGGCATACAAGCAGAGCCGGAGGTATACAAATGGAGCCGGTGATATCGTATGGTATACAAGCAGAGCTGTAGGTATACATCTGGAGCCGGAGATATCGTATGATATACAAGCGGAACCGGAAGTATACAAACGGAGCCGGAGATATCGTATGGCATACAAGCAGAGCCGGAGGTATACAAATGGAGCCAGAGATATTGTATGGTACACAGGCAGAGCCGGAGGCATACAAATGGAGCCGCAGATACCGTATGGCATACAAGCAGAGCCGGAGGTGTACAAATGGAGCCGGTGATATCGTATGGTATACAAGCAGAGCCGGAGATATACAAATGGGGCCGGAGATATCGTATGATATACAAGCGGAACCGGAAGTATACAAATGGAGCCGGAGATATGGTATGGTACACAGGCAAAGCCGGAGGTATACGAATCGAGCCGGAGATATAGTTATCAATAATGTACCACCCAATTTGTCGACGCGCAGCCTACAGGCATTTGACGCTCACACGGATTATATGTTGCTATTGTAACAAATGACGATACGCCTGCAGCGGCGCTACTCTGCATTGGAATTGAGATCTCCTTTTGATCGAAAGAAGCACGTCTTCACCAACACTGAGTTCACCTGTCCTTTGCCGCTCGGACTGCACCCTCTGCATCCTGGCCCGCTTCAGACAGACGTGACCTGAGCTGACCCGACCTGACCTGACCATGGCACCAGACCATGGCGGGGTGAGCTGAGCTCTCCAGGCTTCAGATAGCTATGTTACAAGCGTTCACTGCTTCGGGCTGTCGAGCGGCCGGCCAGGGTCACTGCGCACGCGCGCGCGAGGGAGCGATGCGGCACGCGGCGGGCGCGCTGTGACCTCTGTTCTTGACCCGTTGCCTTGAGACGCATGCTGTGAGGACGGGTGGATGTGGGGCGGGGGAGGCTCGAGATGGCCACCGGCCAGAACAAACGTCTGAGAACGGCATGGCACTTCGCTGACTGCAAAGCCGGGGAGCAACTTAAGTATGACCTAAGTGGCGAAGAGTGTGCCGATGATAAACTGTCCAGCCTTCAACACTGAGCGAATTAGGGGGCGCTCAGCGTTTCCTGCCGAGCATAACATGCTAATGAGCAGAATTTACGATGTTGTTTGTTGTTAATAGATCATGCGCACCGTGCAAAAGTCTGGTATGTGCATGGATGGCATGTGCTATGACGTCATTTGTAGCCAACGCAATCTCTGAATGCTCCTTGATGGGTGCAGAGCATCTGGCAAGACTAACCTCGAAGTGTTGTGGACCAACTATGCTTTGCTCGACACCGACGCTATCACAACTCGCTCTGCTCAACACCGACGATATGGACCATGCTGCCGATAGCGCGGCCGATGAGTTTGCTGATGTTTATGATGACATTGGCGGTGTGGACTCCAACCGAGCTCCTGTGCACGATAACTAATAAGATAGCGATGCAAACCCCACAGTTCTGTCCTCGGCTCCAGCACACCAATGACGCCAGAGACACGCCGCGACCGTCGCTCGCTCTGCCGCAGACAACAACCTGCACTGTGACTGTCGCCTGGCCTGGCTGCTGCGGCTGCGCGTGCAGACGGCCTCGGCGCACGTGCAGGCCGCCCTGGACAGCACGGTCTGCTACATGGATGGCGGCACGGTGCCGCCCCGGCTGGAGGCGCCGCCCACGCCCGACCCGGCGCTCGAGACGAGTACCCTCGGTATCGGGCCGCCTGTCCGACTCATGGACCTCAAGGTGGGGGCGGCGCGGTCACTGCTAGATGTCAGTAGTACGGTTTCGTCAAATGGAACTACAGCTGATGCCGTGTAAGGTTCCACGACGTAAACGTTTAGATCGAACATGTTTTTCTCCGCTTGGTCATTTTCATGAACGAGTGAAAACCGCAATCTGACACAAAATAGCTTTTTCGGCTCGTATCCTTCTATATAGCGCGCTGTCAAAGATTTTGGAAGTCGTGGTCTGACGTATTGAACCCCCCCCCCCCCCGCCCTCCTCAACGTGACGAAGTATGGAGGGTCTCCTTTCTCCTTAAGACAGGAAAAGGAACATGGCTCATGGACCTGAAAAGTGACCCGTTGGAAAGGGTTGACAAACGAAGTTATAGGAAGTTCTTCCCTAGCAGCATTCCAAAACCGTTTGGACAAGTTCTATTGGTGTCAAGATTTCATTTATAGCCAAATTCATGCAGGCCAGGTTGTAAGATTAGTTTTGAAGATGTGTACGGCACCTGAGGAAGACTAACCTCGATGGGCCTTTGTGGCTCTTTGTTGGCCAAATGTCTCCATGTCTTTACGTCTTTATCGTCTCACAGCAAGGGGGGACGCTCTCAGACCGTGAGGTAAGGAAAGCAGCATGCGACTGCTGAAGCCCAAGATGTAGTAAAAGGGTTGCCCGATCGTCGGATCGTAAGGTAACGGCAGCAGCACCCGCCTGTTAGAACTCTTGGTGTGGAAAGGCCGGCCGGTCGACTGATCTCACCGCAGGGGAGGGGGGGGGGGCGGCCGACTGATGGTGATGAAGATAGGACAAGGGATATAGGGGATGAGGGATAGACAGATGCACTTCCGGGTAGGCGACAGCGTGGCACGCACTTCCGGGTAGGCGACAGTGTGGCTGCCTGGGATACCTCATAGTAGCGCGTGTCTGATGAGCCGTCTTGCTGATCAGAGCGCAGCCGACACGTTCCATAGAAATGGAACATACATTAGGTCCCCGGGCCGAAGCGCCCACGTTCATCACGCGTCATCATCTTGGTGTCGCCGGCGCCGCTCGGGGTCGGACGGCCGCGCTACCGGCGGCTGCCAGTGCGGCCGGCTACCGGGCCGGGGCCGCCCGAATCGAGGCCAATTCGGTGTTACTCCATGTCAAATAGCGCCGCTGGAATCCGGGCACTTGCCCGCTGAGCGGCGTGTTTGCAGCGGGGTGAATCAGCGTGCAGTTGTGCCAAAAGCTTGCAGTGAGGCGCAACCGTTTGGCGCCGCCGCTCTGGTGGGCGGCGGAGCACACCGCCCCCGCCTGAGCGGGCGGGGGTGCGGTCTGGCGGCGTGGAGAGTGACCGGTGCTGTCGGGATGGCCCCCTCCGCGTGGGTGATGGCGATGCGATGGAAAGCCGTATTAGGTAGCGACGTGCGGGCTTTGAGGCCGGACAACGGTGCGACTGGGAAGTCACCCGCTCCATGTTTACGGGCATTTGTCGCGGAGCTCGTGCGGATCGAATGGTAAACGTTGCCCGCCTCGAGCACCGAGCATGATCCCGCGGGGCCTATGCCGGGATAAGCTCTGCCAAACTGTGAAGGACTATGCCTGCTGTGAATGGGTTTCATCTGATTCCGATGGTTCCTCAAATGCCGATACAGCTGCAGCATGGCCTGAATCCTTAGAGGCTCTTTAGGTCTTGATTCTCACTGGTTTTGAATTTGTTGTTTTGATGGTCTAAGTGCACTTGATTAACTCACCTTCAGAGGATGTCTTGGTGGGAACCAAATTTTGCATAGCTGTAGGCAATTTAATAGCGGATATTTAGACATACAAAATTAAATACACTGCATAAGGTCGCTGACCTATGGCAGGTCAAAGTTCAGGCCGTGGCTGTCCGCAGTGGCAGTTTCTAGGTCACCGTTTAATATGATAGGACAACGGAATATAAGACCAAACCATATGTCTCCGAGATACTTTCATAGACAATTCCACAAGTTAATTTATGATTACAAAATAACTGAATTATCCTTGGGTCAGGCATGAGGGATAGATCTAGGCCAAAACTAATCTGCTTCTTTACTGGAGGGTCTTCGATATGATGTAGTTTCTGATGCTCATTTCGAATTTCTTGATGACAGGGACCATAACAGACATTGTTTATGGACTTCTTCAATGTCAGAGAAAGTCACTGACCTAAAGTGACCCAGATCCACGTTTAGTTTCTTGTAGGAACATACAGCCTGGCGTGATCCCTGACACCCATTGAAAATTCAAAATCGAAACAATCTCGTGGGTGTTTGATCACCATGACCTTCTAAAGATCGAACAAGGTCACTGACCTTTTATGAACAGCACTGGCATTTTTAGTAGAATAAGTTTGTAGGATAAAGTGGGGTTGTATGGGGAAGACCGGGGCACTTTGAACACCAATTTAGAGGTAACATTGTTTGACTTGATTTGACCCGAAGGTCATGACCTATGAATCGCAACTTCTGACACAAGTAGATGACATACAGGCCAACCCGACTAAGTAATGTGGTATATCTGGCTCCATCAGTTTCTGAGATCACAGTGGTACCAAATTGATCTCCTACCCGAGCGGAGGGCATTCAACCAGCCACCCGGGCGCTTGTTAAACGATGCTGAGAACGAGAGAGTATCACAGAGCACAAACGAAGGCACGAAAAGTGGTGCAGACTGACCTGTGACCTCCCTCTTCACACTAGGTGCACGAGCTACCCTGTGACCGACCTCTTGCTGAGGAGCCGGCTCTCGAGCACCGCGGGCTGGAGCTGGAGCCGGATCCGGAGCCGGAGCCACATCCGAAGCCGGAGCCGGAGGAGCGGCGGCGGGGATCCGAGAACTCGGCGGCGCGGCCCGCCCCGGTGGACACGACGCCGCCGGCCGGCTCGGCTGTCGTGCGGGACAGCGTGACCGCAAGCAGGGGCAGCGGCGCCAGCTCCGCCGCCCCCGGCCGGCGCTGGCTGCTGGCGGTGGCGGCTTCTCCTGACGCACGGTGTGGCGTTTGTGGCGTGCGTTTGACGCTGCCGGCGCGGAGACGAAACTGACGCAGGCGGCGGCGGTCGTAACACCGACTGGGCGTGAGTGAGCACAGCTGGACTGAGCCCCGGCACCAGCCAAAATAGCGAGTGGAAGCGTCGTGGTGCCCGGCGAGTGTCTGCCCCCGCGTGCTCAGAAACTGTCGGACCGCAATACGACCCACCGCAGTCCTGCGTCAACCGACTGACACCGATGAACCTCAGTCATATTTCGCTGTCGCGTCTGTGACCCGCGTTTCGCGCCGGCCCTGGCGCCCGGTCCACCGCCCCGGCCTGATGGTGTATGGCTCGGTGGAGCTGTGGCCGCCGGCGACGCTCGTTTGTCTCGCTTCGTCGCGCTCGCTGGCGCCCGTCTAGGCGGCCCGAGCCGTCCGGGTGCCAGCGCCGGTCTGGCGTGGGCGCGCGCCCCGGCGACCACGCCGTAAGTGGCGGCGTGAGCGTGACGGCTTGCGGGCGTGCCTCGTAGCCATCGGGACGGCTGCTGTTCATCCGTCTTGCAAGTGCAGCCGTCGGACCCACGGGCGTCGCCAGGGCTGCGCGACTGGGGTAGCCGATGATCCGGGGAGTCAAAGTGGCGCTCTGGGGGTTCCAAGCAGATCGACTGGGGGCAGCCGATGACCCGGGGAGTCCAACAGATCGGTTTGGGTGATGAAACCGTCGGAACAGTACGATCATCGTCTACCGCCAGGGCGGCGGTGGCATGGAAGGTTCCAGAGGGTGACGTGGTCCAAGACTCCCATCAGCAACACCCCTGGTTTAACCCCCGCTCAGTGGGTCCTGTGTAAAGCTCTATTCATTGCATGGGAAGAAACGATAGCATTGCAGAACGGCGCTGGATGAGCAACAAACTTTCGGACCATCCGCCATGTTCAGTGTATGATTCGTGAGCGAGTGAATGGACACGCGTTTTCATTGCGCGGAAAACCTCATTAGCTTCACTGCCCACTTTGTTTCAATTCCTAGCGTATGCGGAGATCCTCGTGGCTTGGCCATCAACAACGGGGATCCGCCCTCGCCGAAATGCGTCCCCGCTCAGTCCGCCGTCTGCTGCGAGATCCGGCGATCGTTCGGGGCCGCTCGCCGCCCCCCGCACCCGGCCGGGGTGTGGGGGCCGCTCGCCGCCCCCCGCGCCCAGCCGGGGTGTGCACGTGATGGCGTCAGAGGACGCGCGACCGCCGCGGCCGATCCGTCACCGGCGTCATTGGCACGCAGATTAGCCCCCATAGCGACACCGCAGATGTGGCAGATGTCCAAGCGCGTGCGCGGCTCCAGTGTGAGCTCCGGTGTGAGCGGGTGCTGATTGATGACGTCATGTGCGCCGGAAGTCTGCTCGTACGGCGGGTTAGTAGTGTGGACAGCAGGGAGGTCAGGAGTGCTCGGCCCTGCGGTAAGCGCCCTGTCGACACGGCTCGTTCGATGCATTGTTTTTAACCGATTCGTCACTAACTGGATGTCAAATGGTCTCGTGTGATGTGGATGGTGTGGAGATTGTGTTGTTTTTTTACAGCCCCGGTTGTATTTGTGTGTTGTGTTCATGAATGAACGTCTTTATAAGATGCTGCACCGTTCGTCAAAAGCCGTCAGCTTACCAATACACTGCTTGCCTTTTGTGTATCGATCATCAGCACCCTCGGTAGACTATTTGACCGCGCTCTCGCCGGATTTTGTATTTAATGCTGGGACTCTAGCGCCGCCTACAGACTGAAGAAAAAGCATTGCTGTTAACTCTTCAAACGACACGAGTATAGGGTAGTTCTCCCGGAGTATGTGTTCTGATAGTGGTTCTGGGAGAGGGAACTGCCTGCACACGACATCCCTAGTTCCTCCTCGGATTTTCCGCACAGATCCCGCTGGGTACCAAACATTTTTCGCCTGCAAGGTGGGGCACTCAATACCACTGAAAGCCTGTTGATATGGTGGGACCTCACTACACCCACACACTCGTGAGCCTGTCGTTTGGGTGGCACCAATCAGATATTCACAGCCCCGTGTCCAGGTGAGCCCAGACGCGCAGGTCCAGCAGAGCATCTGGCACCAGCAAGGGCATCGCCGCCAATGTGGCCGCAGTGTATGGTTTGAAACGGGCATCCTTCCTCAAACTCGCGGTCGTAAAAGTACCACACATCAAGGAGTTGCGCAACGTTGAGCAGACGAGTGATTACGTGCGTGTGTTACAGCACCACCCACGGCTTGCAACTATGTTAAGCTCTTCTTTCGTATTCACACCACTTTGGTTGGAAGTTCTTTCAGTGCGTCACCGGCAGCGGTCGAGTACGCGTGTTGCCTCCGTTTTCCCTCTTCTCTCTTTCTCTTTTTACCCACCTCATCTTGGCGAACGCCTAAAATCCCTAACCTCGAATCTTCTTCCGACCTACGCCCCACCTTTTAGCACAAGTCTCCAACAGCAGGCAAGTCAGTAGCATTACAAGACTTAAGATCATTAATCTACTGACAGTACTTTTATACCTACCATTAATCGTCACCAAGATGAAATATGAGGCCGCGAAGTGACATGGTTTCATGCTCGTGCTTGTGTCTGTGCAGCATTTCTGTCACAAGACGGAACGGTTGTTTAGACAGATTCTTTGCATGCATCTTAATCAGACGAATGCCAGGTTTTAAATGTTTGGACCCACTGAGGTTATGAAAAGCGATTTTTCCGCCAAAAACTCGCATTCTCTGCATGCCACAACGCAAGTTCTCGCCGATTTACCAGATCACTCGACCTCGAGAACGGTCCAGCATTCTGAATTGATCCCGATTCCACCAGAATCCCGGCTCATTAACCTGACTTGACTTCCAGAGCCAAACTCATCCAAGAACTCTTTGAACGGTGGCGCTCTCACGCCGCGCCCACGACCGCTGCCGTGGCGGGACGCGCCTGCAGCCTGGCTGGCTGCAGTGTCCGCTGCAGTGTCCGCCTGCAGACTGCAGCCGTGTCCTGCACCACGGGCGCGACGGCACCAATTGGGGGGCCGACAGGGCGGCCGTGTCGCCAGATTACTGACGTCAGCCAGCTCCCGGAGTCTTGGCGAAGGCTTATCGAGCGCCGCTCAACAGACGCGCCGTGCTCAGATGCCGCTGCTGGCAAGCCCGCTGGCAGAGATCTGTTGTGTTATCTGCGTGCAGTGTCGTCTGTGGTGAGAGCTGAGGCTTTCAAATTAGCCATGCTTTTATCTGGAGTGAGTTGGAGATGCTTTTCTCAGACGGCATTTCCAAACGTCATTTCTTGGTCTGGATGCGTTCACAAGAGGGGATTGGGCTTGGCAAGAACAGATACCCGCCTAGTGAAAATGTAAAAATCAAACCCAGCCTCTGCATAGTGATTGCAGACCAAACTTCGGTGAATATTGAGCACGATGTCGTCTCCCTGAGGCAGCTTAACAAACTCCAGCTCAAGAATAGAGTTCATCGGACGTGCACCACACACGCTGCGCAGTCTGCTGTCCTAGCGGGCCGTGCCCACGCAATCAGCGTTGGCTTCGGCCAACCGCCCGCTGGCTCTTTCAGAGAGGCCGAAATCCAACATACAATCGTACAGCTTAGTGATCCTATCCAGCCGTGTTGAAACTGAGTTGCTAAGTGAAACTGAGACGTGTAACCCGAGCGTGATGTGCGGAAGAGAGTTGATAGACGTTTTGCTTGGTGGCTGGGGAAAGAATCAGAAGTGTTTTGAATCAAGGAGCGAAATGTCGCTCCGGAAATAAGCCTGACGGTGACGTTGATCTGCTTTGCATTGTGAATAATTCAGTTGGTGCGGTGCTGGGGCGAAAGCTGCGCCTCAGCCGCAGTTTTCAAAATAAACAGTCGGTGACTGCAGCGTGGGGGTAACTGCTGGAGTGACAACTACCGCGATTAATGCAGCACGTCTTGAATGTTGTAATAAAGCGGACAGCATGCTAAATAGACAGTGCACATATGATAAAGATAAAATCGCTTTCTGAATTAGGCCTTAATCCAGTTGGTGCTTCACCGCACTCAGAAGACGTATAGCCAGTTATGTCTGGTGGAAAGGGTTGTTTTTTGGATGCAAGTTACTTATGTACCCACATGATCGTAAGGTAGCTTGTGACGTATTTGGTGTAACTGGGTTATGATTACAGTGAGGAACATGAGCAAAGCAAGCTGTTGAACAAGTTTCAGTAATACTCCTGTGCCTTTGGCTGACCGAAATTGTGCGACATATGATTACAATAATTGTCGTAGAAGCTGCTTCCGTTCGATCTTGTAATACGGTACGCAAAATAATCGGAAAAGTACAAACTGTTTTAACTGTATTTTTGCGCCATGGCGTGCGCCAGAAACTTTCCTTGCGCGCAATGCAGAATGTAAGATGTTTGACCTCCTAGCATCTCTGAACCTGGGGTACCGATTTGACCAGATGGTCTTAAATGAAACTTTGCGGCCATAGATAACTTTATTTGAACAGCAACTCCGAAAAAGGACAATTCCGAAAGAGCTGTTTGCGCACTCAGGAGGGAAAAATTGAGCACACTGCACTTTTTATGCATCTCACCAAAATATTCAGGTATACCGTATTTCTGTTCGGCATTTTTCACGCCGTGATAACAATGAGCCCAAGGATAAGTTGTTAAATGCGTTTGTGAGGAGCATTATTCACATAGATAAGATAGGAGCAATAGCCTTATTCCTCGGAGAAAATCAAGAGAATGTAAATATAGATGAGTTGATATTTCGGCAGCATGCCTTTAACGAAGCAATAGCAAAAGATATCTGTTTCGATAAAGGCACGTTGCCGAAATATCAACCCGTCTATATCTCCATTCTCTTGGTTTTCCTCCGATGAATAAATATATTGCTACTGTCTTGTTTATGAACGCAAAGGTAAATACCTCGAAAACATTGTTGTATCAGTGGCAGATACAGAACTTTAAAGACTGGATAAATGGAACCATTCGAAGCTCGGTGGAGTGATACTGATTGTGAACTGAGGCGGTCACCTGTACGTCCTTTATTGCGTCACTTGTATCCGCCTCCAGCGCTTCCCAAGATCAGTGGCGAATGCCGAGTGCGTAATCAGCGGTCATTGTGAGAATATACGATAAACATGCGCACTGTCTTGAAATGTCGAGAATTCTTACAATATGTCCCGGTAGCGCATGCAGAGGGTACAGAGGGCGCACGCGCACACCTCCACCCCCACCCCCACTGCAGGTCTTAAGGGGCTCCTCGAGCACCTTTGGACCGACGATTAAAGGGAGTGTTCCATAGTTGTTTGGGGTTTTGAACTGAAAAAAAACATCTTGAAGACCATCGGGTGCAGTTCAAGCCCTGACTCCTCAAGACCTAAACTCTTCTAGCTTCTGGGTGACCCTCCCGTGAAGGTGTGCAGACTTTTCGGAGATATTTCAAGATAACCCAGGCATGCATGGCGTCATAATCACGTCGTTCAACCCCTGCAATGCCATTAGCCATGCAACGATCAAAGCAAATAAGATTATAATCGGTGAGTCGTTCATATCCGGCGTTCGTGTGCACGATTTTCAAACATAACGGCCGTCAATTGGCTCTCAATCACTGTTGTGCAGGGTACAATGACACAATCAAGCACTCGCGCACTGGGAGCATGTTTACTGAACAGAGAATTTGTGTTGTTTGGAGCGGTCTTTTTTGCTCACAAGTGTAGCTTTAGCTATAAGTGTGCTTTTTCATCATATCCCATGCTTGCTTCAATATTTCCGAAGGCGAAATATGCCCTTTTTAAGTGTCCTTTAAGTGGGGGCCCGACGGGCTGGCTGTAGGTCATATTATGGTCATGACCCTCAGGGCCGTGGCCTGAAATGTCAGTCATAGGACCTCTTGCACCGATTGATAAATTCTTGGGACAACGCGGACCTCTATTTCGCCCATAGCCTGCCAACACCGCACTGTTGATCTCGTGTCGCTCTAACCCACGGGGGCAAATTTCCCAAGCGGGAACAAGGCCGATATTTATTCAAACCCAAGGTCGAGGGAACAAGGTCGAGGTAGAGGTCCTTGAACGTCCGTGCGTTGTCCGCTGTTGGCATAGGTCGAGGTCCCTGCAACAATGAGGGTCCCTTCGATCAGGGTTCCACAGTGACCAACAGGAGGTCCTGAGTCGGGCAGAGGTCCTGAATCGGCCAGAGGAACATTTGCTGAACACGGACAGTGACTGGACCACGAAATGCCAGAAGCTCTTTTGCGTTGGTCGGGGCCCTCTGACAATGAAAGATATGAGAGCT